CTAGTAATTTTATTTTTTCTCTTTTTGGCTATTAGGCAAATTTGAATTTATAAAATTCCTTTGTGGAGATGAGAAAATTAACACACTATAATTAATAAAAATGGTGAAGTTGAACGAAAAAATAAAATCCTTTTTTTTTGGTCAAGGATGAACGGGCGGAATAGAAAAAGTTTTTCGCCCTGTTCGAAGTCGCTTAATCACTAAAAAAGAAAAATCGTTGTTCGGAAAAACTTACTATTGTCGGGAACTACAAGACCAAAAAATTACTAGTCCGTTCACAGGTGTTGTTACTAGAATCTATCCTAATCACAGTTTACATATCACTAGTAAAGGCGGAGCACAAATAATTCTTGCGTTGCAACTCCCAAAATCTAACTACCAATTGGAGGAAAAATTGTTCCAAAGGGAGGTTGTGGCGGGACAAAAAGTAAATCTTGATACCGTGCTTTTCTCTCTTCATCAACCGGAAAAAATTGCCAGTTTGAGCATTTATATTCTCTGGCAACCCGAAATCTTAAAAAAGATTGAGGTTAACAAAAATCGCAATCTTACCTCTTGGTTAAAACTTCATTATCTTCAACCGTTTGAAAAATGAAAATGGAAGCAGCATGGTGAATACTAGACAAAACACTAATTAATAAAGTTCATGAGTAATTTCCTCCCAGTAGTCACTGCTTTAATATCAGACGAAAAAGGTCGTGTTTTAGTCTCCCAAAGGTCTTTCAGTAGTCCAATGCCCGGACAATGGCAAAACCCAGGAGGTAAAGTGGAGAAAGGAGAAAATCATGCCGAAGCCTTAAAAAGAGAAGTTAAGGAAGAAACTGGTTTGGAAGTTAAACAGGTAGGTGATTTAGTATTTAGGTTTATTGATAAGGAAAGCAAGTTTGACATTTATTTTTATGAAGTGAAGGTGGTGGGTAAGCCAAAAGTGAAAGAACCGGATAAAGTAAGTTCTGGATGAGTTTATTTAACTTTGGAAGAATTAGAAAAAAAAGAAGTGGTGTTAGGTTTGGTGGAAGCAATCGGAAATTGAAAAATTAAATCTAGACAAATCTAAAAGAAAAATAATAATTTCATAAGTATCACAATTATTAGTTATGTTTTCTAAACTCTTTCACTTTTCTCACCACCTCATTACTTTTTTGGAAGAGTTTTAATTGTAACTTACAATTGCTGCTGTTCGTTTTCGTTAAGAATTCTCTTTTTCTAAATATTTAATCACGGCTTGGGCAGCCACCGCTCCTTCGGCCGCCGCCGTGACAATTTGCTTAATTTTTTCTGGATGGCTACGAGCCACGTCCCCAGCCGCAAACAAACCAATTATTTCAGTGGAACAATCTTCCTTAATTTTGATATAACTCTGGGGGTCACAAACTCCTAATTGGTGAGTAAAACCACTAAGCGGCGAGAGTCCAATTTGGGGAAAAACAGCCTCAACTGGTAATTCGCTCTCCCTGTTATTGTCAAGACGATGAATAATTAGTTTCTCTACTTTGACTTGACCGCAAATTTCCTTTACTATACTGTTAATAATTAGGATTATTTTAGGATTTTTCTTGACTTGCTCTACAATTTCTCTTTCTGCACGAAAACTGTCTCGACGATGAATAAGATAAACTTTACTCGCCAGATTACTTAAATACAAAGCCGCTTCCAACGCTGAGTAACCTCCACCTATTACTGCAACAATTTGCTCGCGAAAAAGTCAACCATCACAAATAGCACAATAAGAAACCCCTTGGTTAGTAAACTCTTTTTCCCCCGGCACACCTAATTCATTTTCAATAGTTCCCGAAGCAATAATCACTGTTTTAGTCATAAAATTCCTTTTTCTAGTTCGCACGAGAAAAATGTTTTTTATCTTTGTTAAATTGACTACTTCTTCATATTGTCAGTCAATCTTGTAGTGTTGAACTTGTTGACTAAATTTCTCGGCTAATTCTGGCCCCCGAACAGAAATAAAACCGGGATAATTTTCAATTTCGGCTGTTTTGTTTAATTTACCCCCGGCCAAGGATTTTTCCAGGAGCAAAATTTTTAGCAAAGCTCTTTTAGCATAAATCGCTGCTGTTAAGCCAGCCGGACCCGCACCAATAATAACTAGATCATAGAGAATATTTTCTTCTAATTTTTCCAAGGAAACAGGCATGTAAATAACCTTATTAAAATTTAAGCGAGATTTCTGTAATTACAATTTTTATCGTAAAGCAAGTTTACCCTTAACTTCTTGGTATATTTCGGGATTTTTCTGTAAGTAAGTCAAAACATTTTCTTTGCCGTTTCCTAGTGAAGTTCCGTGGTAATGATATCAGTTACCGCTTTTTTCAAACAAGTTTTTTTCGGTTGCCAAATCAATTATTTCTCGCTCTTTTTGCACACCGCACGAGAAAATTAGTTCTAAATTGGTTGTTGCTCCCGGAGCGGCTAGTTTGTTCTTGACTATTTTGGCTCCTATTTCCACACCAACTACGACATTATTTCTTTTAATTTCGTCGCCTTTTTTCAAGTAAATTCGCAAGTCCGCATCAAATCGCAAAGCCATTCCTCCCGTAGTCGTAGTTGGATTACCGGGTAAGTAATTAGGGGAAATTTTGTTGCGGATTTGATTAATGAAAATGATAATCGTTTTTTTATGTGTTAATTCACTCTTTAATTTACGCAATCCTCAGGACATTAATAAGGAATGAGAGCCAATTCTATGTTTTTCTAAATTAGATTCTAACTGAGAACGAGGGATTAAATTAGAGACTGAATCCACCACAATTAAGCCAACACCTTGGGAAATTAATTCACTCATTATGGCAAAAGCCTCTTCGCCCCCGCGAGGAGAAACAATTACTAATTCTTCACTCTTTATTCCAAGATTAACGGCATATTGTCTATCCAATCCGTTTTCTAAATCAATGTAAACTGCCACTTTTCCCAATTTTTGGCATTCGGCAACTGCGTGTAAAGCCAAAGTGCTTTTACCGCTGGACTCTAATCCATAAATTTCTATTATTTTTCCCATTACATAACCACCTGTGCCGATAGCATGGTCTAGCAATCAACTTCCCGTCGAGAGAATTTCTTTTTCGTGTTCTTTGCTTTCCTCCAACGTAGTAATAACTCCTTCGCCATGTTCTTTGGTAATAGTAGAAATAATTCCTTTTATTCCCGGCACTGCTGCCTCCTCCTCATCCTTTTTAATTTCTTTTCTGCTCATTGATGTTGATAATTTATT